ACAAACTCAAAAATTGAAATCAAATTGAATTAAAATGCAATGAAATATTCAAAATTGTACAAGTACAATGAATACTTTTAACCTATTTTTCAAAGAAATCAATGATGGAATTATCGATCAACACCCATACAGTGAATTATTATGTGCAGTTATACTTAAGTTAATTTTCAACAAACAATACAGATAGGAAAAACAAGCAGAAAGCCAAATAAAGGAAGCGCCACGATAATTAGCAATACTTCCAGCAAATTTTTGAATTCCGTTTGTTTCCTTCACTGAGCTAGACATTTCATTAGATATTGAGAATGCTTTCTAGTTTCACATGTATGTTGAACAGTGTCCTGATATTATACTAATGAACATCCTTCAAGAACCAAAATTCTGAGTTTCATAGATTATTCTTTAGATTAGGTTACATGGCTTCAGTTCTTTGTTCAGCTAAATAACTCAGTTTCTAGAATTGCTTCGTACTAATTAATATATCAATATCAAATAGTATTTTCACGAATTCATTCTATAAATTTACCTCAGCTTATTTACCAATTCTTCCAATTCTCGATTCAATCCATAGTCGCTAAATTTGAAAACGATTTCAAAATGTATTCATTATGTTTAATGCGATCAGTGCTTCATTTTACGAAAAATCCATAATATAATTTTTGAGTAATCACTTGCATGAATATTTCTTTTATTATGCCCGGAAAGGTTATTCTACCACAATTTATCCTACGATTTTTCTAATATGATATATACTTTAAATATTGATGTAATGTGGAAACCTACTTGCTAATTACTAGAGACCCGATATGTACCATGAAAAATAAAAATAATGCTGATGTTTTATGTAGGCAAATATGCATGAAAAATGCTTGAAATATGCACCAAATTTGACGAATATGCAAAATCAAATGATATATTTTGGAAATCCGAAAAAAACTAAATCTTCATTCTTTCATCACAAGATTGTTTGTCACAAAACACATTCAACTATTAAATTATCATTGGATAGGCAATCTTATTATTATTATCTATATTAGGTAACATTATACATTGCAGTTACATCACATTGAAGTTATTCGATATTCTCGTGAACGTAAACAATCAAGTAATATGTATTACATGTGAAAATTGGGCCTTCGATCATTTAGAATATTTTTGTATTTGGAAAAGCTTCAGGCCACAACTACTGAGGTAACTGGAGAGAATTTTGAATGAAATTTGAACTTGAATGCAATGTTAGCACTTATTATGGAACTATCAATTTGACACAATTGTTCAAAACCTAAGTTATTGTTCAATATATTAAAATCAAAGTCACAAAAAAACTGAATTATTATATTTTCATTCAACAGCTCTTATATTTTGTGATAGCTAAAGTTGGCCATCTTCACGTTATTATCACTTCTACAGAAGTTCTGAACTCAAGGTTGGAGCATAGCATTCGTAAAAATATTGTAAATGTACCGATAATATGCATCACTACTAGATTTTAGGTAGAATTTGCTTTAACCGCTGAAAATGATTTATTTAATTGTGTAGGCGTTTACTTGATGTAAATCCATTATAATTAAATATAAACCAAAATTCAAACACATGAAATTTTGATTTACACTTTACTGGCAATAACATAGCATGACGCGTTTCGTCGTTACAAACGACTTCTTCAGATGCTAACAGAATACTGACTTTATGTTGCCAGCAATTTTGAATAACAGCTTAAAGTACCATCGTGCCAAAAAGCTGTTATCAGCTTCATTTAAGTATTCAATAGAGTCGGCGTTTACTTGATGTAAATCACTTATAAGTGAATATAAACTAAAATTGAAACACTTGAACTTTTGATTTACACTTTATTGACAATAACATAGAATGACGCGTTTGTTCGTTAGAAACTTCGTTAGACTTCTTCAGATGCTAACAGAACACTGACTTCAGTCAGTATTCTGAAGTAAATACATCTTAAGAAGTAGTTAGCATGTGACTGAAGTCAGTATTCTGTTAGAATCTGAAGAAGTCGTTTGTAACGAACAAACGCGTCATGCTATGTTATTGTCAATAAGGTGTATATCAAAAGTTCGAGTGTTTGAATTTTAGATTGAATTCAATGTAAATGATTTAAATATGCCAATACATTTGCAAATGCATATAATCCGGTTCCTACTAATCAGGTTTGATTTTCATTTCGTGATAATGGATCAGTAGCCCGAATGTCGATTTCTAATCATTTTTCATGAAATTGCATCAGGTTATTCGATTGAACTATACATTTACAGAGATAAACCGATATAAAGTGCCTCAATATGAGTGACTTGAAATCATTTCGATTGTAATATATATCCTTATAATTTTGGTTCAAATTGGAATCTGAAATAACTACATTTTCTTCATGACACAAACTTTTATGAGATCTCAGTTTTCAACACAAGAATAACATACAAAGTATAAATCATTTCGACGAAACATTGGAATGAAAAAAATTTCAAAGTTACTAGCATAAACTATTTGCCGAATCCGCTCAAAGAAATTGAACAATGATTTCATTGTAAAAATTCGGGAACCATCAAGAGAAACAATTCCCAAGACGAAGCTGTGAAGAGTATGAGAAAACCATGAAAAAATTATGATAAAAGTCAACGTGATCAGTAATTCACGAACTCAATAAATCATTGAATGATAATGCCAATGCAAATTGCAAAGAAAGAATTTCACCCAATTTTTCTCCTCAGATTATATAACGAAAATATAAAGTTTAATTCTCATATTCGCACCATTTAGTAGCATACATTAGTTTTTTGATGAGTTTTCAAACTATTTATATAAACGACTGCAAATAATAAGATTTTTTTATTTGCCGAAATATCCCCTGTTATCTTCAGCGCTTATGGATCATTATCGTTATTAGGCGTTATCCTAAACTTAGGTTTTGGATAAAGTCTAATTAAGAAAAACTGCAACAGGAGCCTTAATAACTCATTATCTCAAATTATCTTAAATAACATGCCCACTTTTACGAGTAGGTGTAGTCAAAAGATCAAGGACTCAACAAGTACGTATGCAAAACCTTCAAATAATCACACCACACACTATTTCATTGATTATATCAACCGGAACGTTCATACGGATAAGATAATATTTGTCTAAGACAAAATGTTAATAAAAATCGGCAACATTCAGACTTAGCGACATTCAATAAAAAAATATTGCTTCGGAATGGGGCAGAATGTGGGAGAAAATTTGATTAAATATATATTGCTTATTGTTATTGGGTACCTGATATGCCACGCAGAAGCTTCTTTGTTCGGTGACTCTTTCAAGTCGAATGTGAATACTCTAAATTCTGCTAATATCATACAAGCTCGTTGCACACATGGATTCGTTAAATTTGCTGGACGTTGTCGTAGAATATATTGGTGAGTTTCATTATGAATTGATATAACCATTCCTTATGGCTCACTTTGCTCAGAGATTTCTCGAAAGAAAAACACCTTTCATTGGATATAACAATAAATATTCAGTACCTAACTGACTATATTCTGAAAGTGCCTTACATAACGCTTTTCTACTAGATATTCTTATGATATATATATATATATATATATATATATATATATATATATATATATATATATATATATATATATATATATATATATATATATATATATATATATATATATATATATATAGTAACTACTGAGACTCTTAATCGAAATATTTAAAATAAAACTCTCAGGGAGCTGTCTACACAAATGTCAACGAGAACGAACCCATCACTTTCGAGAGTGAATATTAAGTGCGTTTCGAAAAATTCATCGACCTTGTTGAATGATAATAGGATGCAATTGTTTCATAACTATCATGAAGCATCAGTCCATATTCAATCAATCAATCAAGAATCGATGACTTTCAAAAGGCCCATAGGTCTTATAGCAAATTGAGGGGAATTTTTCTCAGTGAAAAATTCACGTGAGCACCCTCTATCGGAGAAAAGACGTCTAAACTCTCCTTAGCGTTCAAGATTCCTCCTGTGTAGACAGCTCCCTGAGAGTTTTATTTGAAATATTTCGATATTTCGATTAAGTCTCAGTATTCACTAGTATTGAATGATTTTTGAATCTTGAAACTAGCTATACTTTTGCCCGCCGGGGCGTGATCTGGAGCTATTAGGCGTGGGATTTTTCGTACACATTGCGGAGACTTTTCTGTAGTGTTCGAATGAAATATCTACAAACCCTTTCACTCGCGCTACTGTTGTCATTAGTAGGAATCTTGACTGCTAGGGAGAGTTTATACGTCTTTTCTCTGATAGAGGGAGCCCAAGTGGATATTTCACTAGGAAAAATTCCGCTCAATTTGGTATATGATCTATGTTCGTTTTGAAAGTTATCAATTCTTGATTGATAGATTGAATATGGACTGATGATTCATAATAATGATGAAACAATTGTATCCTATTATCTTTCAACAAGATCGATGAATTTCTCGAAATGCTCTTGATATTCGCTATCGAAAGTGATGGGTTCGTTCTCGTTCACAACCTTTGTGTAGACAGCTCCCTGAGAGTTTTATCACAAATAATTCGATATTTCGAATAATAGTCTCAGTATTTACTATATATATATATATATATATATATATATATATATATATATATATATATATATATATATATATATATATATATATATATATATATATATATATATATATATATACAGTAATTTCTCGTGTGACCACGTGACCTCTAATCTACCGAGGTCTCCACTTTGAGATGCAAATTCAATTCATATACAACAACTCTTTTATTCGTCGAGCTAGTTATTCGACGTTCGGATTGTCGTCTTCGAAATTGCAGGCGAAAGTGAGTGAGCTCCTACCCATCCTTCTAGATGTATTAATTTTTTTTTAAGTAGCAATAATACTACGCAATCGTACGTAATCGTACGCACATGAACAATGTATTATTATTTTTATAGTGAAAATTTAGAGCCCACATTAAGACTTCGATAGCTTAGCGGTAACAAGCAGTTGGTCGTAAACCTGAAGACCTTGGTTCGAATCCCAGTCGAGGTCGAAAACTTTTGAAATGCATTTTCAATTCTAAATTTCCACTATAAAAATAATAATACATTGTTATATGTATACATATAACAATGTATAGGGGTATATATATTTTTTTCAATTCTTCGCATAATTTCAAAGAAAATTATTTCAATTTTCAATTCAAATTCAATTTCAAGTTCAAATTTATTGAAAAACATATACCAGCAGTTCACATAAATAAATCAATTACAATTGACTGAATAAAAGGTAATTGCGACTATTTATTAATAGGCAACCCATCGCTATTACTTTGCATACTCCCTAAACGCGCATTTAAACTTAGTTTCATAAAAAAACAGATACCTGTAGAATCGAGCATTGTAATCTTAGGCCTAGGTAATGATATTGTGAAATCGTATCAGATTGTAATTATGTGAGCGTTATCAGATAAGTGTTATGAACGTTCACTATTGCTTATTGAGATAAAATGCCACACTCTCCATTATGAAACAATTGCTAGATGTATTTTGGATAACGATTTTGTTCAAAAGATAAATATTAGGATGAATTTCGATTTAAACTTAACGATAATTTGATTGAAGCTCAACGATTGAAATTTTTGATAAAAATTACATAACTAGAAATTTTGATGGAAATTCAAATTCACGAAAGCGATTTAAAGTGAATTTATAGTGAAAGACTTTCATAGTGAAACATGCAGTGTTGATAGGTTGATTTCATTGATATTTAGATCGATGAATAGGAGTAATTAATGTAGCGGTTCGCAGTATGGAGAAAAATTTGAAAATTTGTTGAAAATATAGGATATAACGTCTGTAGTTATGCATTGAGTTCAGGAAGTTCAGAGTTATATCACATACACTTTGAAATGAATATAAATTGCTAAGAACTTAATATTTCCAATTTTTTTTTCGAAACACCTAACACTGAAATGTTTCTATATTTTGTGAAGAATTGTAACAGTGAGTCTCGGTGAGAGATCTTGTATAGCCTTTGATCAGAAACTCTTCTTTATTCCACACATCACCAAACTTATTTCATCTGCCTCGAAAATATATGGATTCGTTATATGCAATTGAAGATATTTCAATAATTCTTCAACATTTATGAGTTTATTTAATGTCCTAATCCGATTTTTATGTCATACTCCTACGTTGGAGTATGGCAGCAAGATCTGGCATCCTATTTACACTTGCCATCAACTTCATATTGAGGCCATTCATAGTAGATTCTTGAAATTCTCAGTTTGGAGGAAGGATAATGTTTATCCATAGAGGGAAGTCAATCATGACAAATTATTGAGTTCATTCAGTTCAATCTCATTGCAGGGTTAGAGAGAAACTTTATCACTCAAACTCTTGTTCAAATTACTGCAAACAGTATTTATTGTCCTCCTCTCTTGTCCGCTTTGAGATTTCGTGATTCTAGACAAAATTATTCCACTTAGAGACTTGAAAGATCAAATCGCTGATACAATCCCCCATTTGGTTTATGGAGTCTACATTCAATATAGTTGCTAACAAATGTGACATTCATTTTGACTCAATATAAGTTATTATTAGGAGTTATGTGAACCAGGAAAATTGACTAAAATGAATCCAATTAGGTTAAATTAATTGTATTCATTTAATTTTATTATTCAGTTATATGTTACTTTTTCAGTTCCTTCAGAATAGATTGAACTTTCGTTATATTTCATTTCGTTTTGATTACTGAGATTGAATTCTCGCTTAACTCTTAATGAAACATAATTAGATATTAATTTAAATTAAACTTATAGACTTTGTTCTGTCTTCACTTATTAGACGTTTGAAAACCAAGTGCTTACAGGCAGGTAATAAAGGGAAAAAGAAGACATCGTAAATGAACACTTAGATTTTCAATTATCCCCCCTCCTTAAATTCATTGTATAGATATAAATTTGTTGTTCGTTCCTTACTGTATTTTAGTCTTGAAAATGAGCTCACGCTCGAAACATGTTGACCAATTCATATTGTTAAATATAATCGTGAAACATTGAGCCAAGAGTTTAATTTGATTATTTGGTTATTTAGTTATTCAACATTATATTATTATTTTCTGAAATTGGGTATTATACCTGTTGAGAATAAAGAACTTATTATTTTCATTATTATTCGAAACAAACCTTTGTAATTCCGTCTAGATGACGTGTTTCATTTCTTGAAACAAATTTGAACTATAATATCCTCAATTGATATTGATTACTCAATTGTATAGTTTATTATAATCAATTGGCTCAAAATTGAGTAGGGTTTTCTTTTCCTATTAGAGATATGCTGCTTTATCCTGAATTTGAGTTCCATATTCATAATATCCTTCAAATGTCTGGTAGGAATATCTAAAATTTCAGAGTCAAAATGTTGAATTAGGTTATAAAGTATAGTATTCAAGTCATGAGATATTGTATTACATGATCCATTCCGTTGTTGAGATTTCAACATTCCTTATTGCAAATATGCTTGTATGTGTCTGTTCAATACAAACAATGTTATCTCGATTATCTCTGGAATAATAGCTCCAACAACAAAAACATGCGTAATAAAACGAAATCATTCGTGAAATCATGTTACCCAAGAAGTTCACATATTTTATATTATTTTGTTTTATTCTATTTCCCTCTGCTGGCGAATGCAGAACAGCAAATGCTGAATTTTTCGAATGGTACAGGAGAATTTTCACAAATAAAACTAGTGAAAAAATTCTGGCAAAGAATATTCTTGTAACTCCATGCAGATTCGGTTTTGTGAAAATAAATGGAAGATGCTTTCCGTTACGTGATATGTATGATGATTATTATGAATTACCGTGAGTACTGTTAACATTGATTTGATTGGTTACTGTTATATTTTTTACAAATATTATAGAGGTAAAGTTTGTGAATTTGGGAGTTCGTGACGTTGTAGGAGGCAATCTAGATGAACCGAAAAGATATTACGAGTATGAAAATGTCATTCTGAATGGAATTTTAATATTATAAACGCGAAAATTTGTGTAGATGTATGGATGGATGGATCTAACACTCAAATTAAAACAGAAAACAAAGTAAAACATTCAAATGAGTGTTTTAGGCTTTACACAAAAACCGACATTTTAGAAAACCGGTTTTCGAACAGTAATTTTTCATTAAACCGGTTTTGAACGCTTTCGAATTTTTATAAAAAAATTTAATGCCGAATATTCTGTAATTCGAACAAAAAATTTCAACAGAAAATTTAGAGTGATTGAAAGCAGTTTTCGACTGAAATTATTTACTGTTCAATTTTATCGATAATAAAATTTTTTAATGCAATTTAGTAGAACAAAGAAATGATAGTTGACCATGATTAACATTAAAAACAATTATTCGTTGTTTATGCATAATTTTCACATATAAGGATGTAAATATTTTTATAATAGTGAAACGAGTTATTCAGCAAAGGGTTCGAATAAATGAAACAATATATTTTCATAATAAACATATTATTTTTTTTTTAACGTTCAAGTCCTTTACCATAAGATTAATTACTCGTCCCTTCGATAACGTACCCCGGCAGACGGCTGGTGAAAACTGAACCATGAACTAGGGATGGTCGATAATCATCGATGTTCGATGATCATCGATGTTGAAAGCAAAAACATCGATGTTCGGTATTCGATAAATATCGAACATCGATGTTAACGGAATCAATATCGATTTGACCTCACAGCCTCACGCACGACCAATAGAGATGCTCGATGATCATCGAAAATCGATGATTATCGACATTGAAAGCAAGAACATCGATATTTTAACATCGATGTTCGGTATTCGATAAATATCGAACATCGATGTTAACGGAATCAATATCGATTTGACCTCTCAGCCTCACGCACGACCAATAGAGATGCTCGATGATCATCGAAAATCGATGATTATCGACATTGAAAGCAAGAACATCGATATTTTAACATCGATGTTCGGTATTCGATAAATATCGAACATTGATATTGGGCTTTCGATTATGACATCGATGTTTTTCTAACATCGATCATCCCTACCATGAATTACCAGTCCGGGTCGGGGATATTCGGAGAATTGCTGCAATGGAAAATAAAATGCAATATTTCACAATAGTACGAATGGATTTAGAAACGAGTCGCCACAGAGTCATATCGGGCCGATATGCTTCCAAGAACCAAACCGCTAGCAACAGTGTTTTCATCAATCTGGTACATTTGGCTACATTTGTCATTTTGAAATTTTTTTGTGGCTTTTCTACTGAAAAACTGGTTTTCCAATTTCATAATTTTCTCCAAAAAACCGGTTTTTACAAACCGACAAACTCTAGTTTAACCAAAAGCAGTTTCCATTTACTGTATATAATTTGGACAAACAGTTGGAGAGATCCTAATACGACTTAGATAAAAGCCCGCTACCGTGTCATAATCTATTCAGTGATACCTATACAAGATAATTTTTCTATCGTTTCATCATCAAGAAAATTCAATTATAAATGAAGCTTACTGCACAATATGTAGGTATGGGCTTTATTTAAGCTACATTATGTTTTTCGTTTTTTTATTCCGTTGAAAATTTGAATATCTTTATTGTAAACTCAATTCAAATGGAGTTTTTCGTCGTCATTTCATACTTGACGCCTTCATCTTGACGCAACTTTGATAGCATTTTCTCATTGAAAAGAATTGAACTTAAATGAATCCCAATATTGTCAAAGTTAAAACAAGGCAATATGTAGGTTAATAGGGTTAACCCCCTGAACATTTTCATGCTGTTCAATGTTGTTTTTCAATTATGTAAAGTTTTTCATTAAAAAAAGTAAAACTGATTAGTAGTCACTGATCACAATAGCATTCTGCGATCATACTGAATCTAAACCAACTGTTGTCCATTCAATTCAAATTAAACCATGTTCCACCAAGAGTACTTGAGACCACCTCATCTTAGTATAAGTTTGAAAAGAATGTGTTACTGTTATGAATAAAATGTGTTACAATTGTGTTGATTCAGT